TGAAGGTTGGAGTAAAGTACAAAGATGGAATCCCAAGGAACAGAGGGAGGCAACTACTCATTAAAAGTTGATGAAGATACACATAATTTCCTGGAATGTAAGGGGTGGGGGAGAAAAGGAAGCTGATAAAGTCAGCTTTCAAAGAGTGGAGGGCAAACATTTACTGTCTGCAAGAAACGAAGGTGGAGGGGGATTGTGATGGTATTGCAAAGCAACTGGGTAGCAGTAGGTGGATTGACCATATAAAACTAGAAGCTGAAGGAACAAGGGGAGGCATCTTAATTATGTAGGATAAGAGAGAATGGAAAGGGGATTTAGTAGAAAAGGGTAGATACTCTATCACTTGCAACTTTAGCTATGTGCTAGACAATTTCTTATGGGCTTTGACTGGGGTGTATGCTCCATGCAAGAGAGTGAAAAGAAAAGATCTTTGGTTAGAATTGGGGGCTATGAAAGGGTTATGTAATAGAAACTGGGTGGTATGTGGTGATTTCAACACCACCAGATTTGCTAATGAAAGGAAAAACAGGACCTCATACAGTAGAGCAATGGCAGATTTTTCAGATACCGTGGAAGAGCTAGAATTGATTGATCCTCCTCTCTGGGGGCCAATTCACTTGGAGCCAAGGTGATAACTCTGAGTGTGCTTCTAGAATAGACAGATTTCTCTTCTCTATGGAGTGGGATGAAGAATTCAGATTTCTCTTCTCTTTTCTCTTCTCTTGAAATGTGGGGAATGGGAACTCAACAAGTCCTATTTTAAATTCAAAAACTGGTGGTTAGATGTTCAAGAGTTCCTTGAAAAAGTGTAGACTTGGTGGATCTTTTTTGATTGTTGGTAGGCCAGATTTTGTGTTAGCCTCCAAACTAAAGCTCCTCAAATCTAAGCTGAAAGAGTGGCATAAGGAGGAGTATGGCAGTTTAGAGGCAAGGAAGAAGACAGTCCTCAGTAACATCTCAAATTTTGATCAGATTCAAGAAAGAAGAAGGCTCACTGAAGGAGAGTTACTGGAAAAGGTTGGCCTCATGTTAGAAATCAAGGAGTTAGCCAAGTATGAAAAGACTGCATGGAGACAAAGGTCCAGAACTTTATGGCTAAAACAAGGGGACAAAAATACAAAGTTCTTCCACAAAATGGCTAATGCACATAGGAGATACAATCATATTGATAAGCTGGAGGTGCGAGGGCAGACTACCACAAATTCGGAAGAAATCAGGAAAGAAATCATAGGTTTCTACCAAAAGTTGTATGCTGAACTTGAAACATGGCGGCCAAATTTCAATCTGGTTAGGGGGAATTTTTTATCTGAGGAGGAAAGTACTTGGTTACAAAGAGAGTTTGAAGAACAGGAAGTGGTGGAATACCCTAAGTCCTGTGCTTCAGACAAAGCACCAGGACCTGATGGCTTCGCCATGGGATTTTTTCAGAAATGCTGGCCAACAGTCAAGGAAGATGTCATGTCTAACTCTGAAGAATTTCCATTCTAATGAATTCTTTGAGAAGAGTTTTAATGCATCTTATGTGGCTCTCATTCCAAAGAAGAATGAAGCCAGAGAACTTAAAGATTTCACGCCAATTAGTTTGATTGGAAGTGTTTACAAGATTATAGCCAAAGTGTTAACTGAGAGGTTGAAGTCTGTAATCAACAAGCTCATTGGAGGTCATCAAATGGCCTTCATAAAAGGAAGACAAATCATGGACGCTGCTCTTATTGCAAATGAGGTGGTTGACTCTAGGCTTAAAAGCAAAATGCTAGGGGTCCTATGCAAGCTGGATATAGAGAAGGCATACGATCATGTCAACTGGAATTTTCTTATAAGACTAATGGCTAATATGGGATTTGGAGCTAAATGGATAAACTGGATCCGTTTCTATCTTAGCACAGTTAAATTCTCTATCCTGATAAATGGCTCACCCCAAGGCTTTTTTTCTTCCGAAAGGGGGTTAAGGCAAGGGGATCCGTATCTCCTTTTTTGTTCCTGATGGCAATGGAAGGGCTGAATCAGATGTTAAACATTGCAAAGGCAAATGGTTGGGTCAAGGGGTTCAAGGTTTCTAACAGACGAAACTGCATCCTAGAGATCTCACATCTTCTATATGCAGATGACTCTATCATTTTCATGGGAACTCAACCAGAAGAGATGCTTCACCTTAGACTTATATTAACAACTTTTGAAGCAGTTGCAGGCTTACATGTGAACTGGGGAAAGAGTAAGCTATTTCAGGTAAATGAAGTTCCAAACATACAAAATTTGGCCAATATTCTGGAGTGTGGAATAGAGAACCTACCTACCAAAATACTTAGACCTTCCTTTGGGCTCCAAAAACAAGTCGCAAGAAATATGGCAAGGGGTGATTGAAAGGAGTGAAAAAAGACTGTCAAGATGGAAGAGTCAATATTTGTCACTTGGAGGCAGAGTGACTCTGGTAAATAGTGTCTTAGATTCACTGCCTTCCTATGTGATGTCCCTCTTCCCAATTCCATCTAAGGTGAGGAAAAAGATTGACTCCCTGAGAAGGAATTTCATCTGGCAAGGAAACAGTGAGAAAAAGACTATTCATTTAGTCAAATGGGATACTCTTTTGTGTTCTAAGCAGGCAGGTGGTCTAGGCATCAGAAATCTAAAGGCACAGAATAACAGTCTCCTTGCAAAATGGTTATGGAGGTATAATCTGGAGGAAACATCTTTATGTAGAAGGGTGATACAAGAGAAGTATGGCCATGGAGGACCTTGGTGCACCAAACCAGTATCTTCCCCTCATGGAGTGGGGGTATGGAAAACAATCAGGGGCAATGGGGCTTCATTACTGACCACTCTAGTGTCAAGGTTGGAAATGGAAGAAGAGTACTCTTCTGGGGTGACAAATGGTTTGGGCACACTCTTATAAAAGACAAATTTCCAGAATTGTATAACATTGCCGTGAATCCAAGAATTTCAGTAGCAGAAGCAAAATCCACACATGGGTGGAACATTGTTTTCAGAAGGAACTTAAATGACTGGGAGTTGCAAAGTGTGGCAGATTTCTGGGAGACCTTAGAAGCTTTCCAAGGTCTCACAGAAGAGGAAGATGCTTTAATTTGGAAGGGTCACAAATCAGATTCCTTTTCAGTGAAATCTGCTTATCATTTCATTAACAATACTCCTAATCCTGCGCAAGGATGGCCATGGAAACAAATTTGGAGGGTCAGGGCACCTACAAAAGTCCAATGCTTCACATGGCTAGTAGCAAGGGAAGCTATCCCAACTCAGGAACCCTTCTTAAGAGAGGAATCCAGCTACATGCTAGGTGCAGTCTTTGTGGCAAAGATGGGGAATCAGTTTCCCATCTCTGTATTCACTGTCCGGCCACTACTCAACTTTGGCACTTGTATCTCAATTTGGCTGGTATATCCTGGATAATGCCCAATAACATTGCATCTCTTCTCATTAGCTGGAACAATGGAGGGGTAAATATTAAACAGAAGAAATGGTGGAAAATAGTTCCTGCTTGTATCTGGTGGGTCATATGGAAGGAAAGAAATGCCAGAGTTTTTGAAGATAGACTTAGCTCTTACCTGAAAATTAAGCTTAATTGTTTTTTTTATTTCATTTTTGGTGCAAAGAGAGCTATAGGGAGGATGTACATTCTTTACTAGATTTGCTAGAAGAAATGTAATCAAATAGAATAGGCTTTGGCAGTTCTCTGATCCTTTGAGGTCCGATTGTGGTTTACACAATCTCTTGTAAATATTGTTACCCATTAATATAATTGTTACCATTATCAAAAAAATGAAGTAGCTGTTTTATATCTATCCCTTCCTGCTTTTGAATTCTTTTATGCAATTCTTTCTCATGTTCTATGCAGCCTTAGCTAAAGCGCAACAGTTATTGCTTGATCCACAGGAGAGGGATTACATTCTGAACCAAGTTAATGCGGCAAAAGGTCCGCCATCACTTCGCTATTCCTTTTTGTGTCCTTTTTGCGTGGATAGACTGCATTCACATTTTACTGTATTTCTGATGGAGCTTTAGAACAGGTCCTGCAACTCTTCAGTGGTCTGAGTTCAACAAAACTGTGTCAGCATTTGTTCGTGACTGTTTTCTTTTTGGAAAAAAGCGTTGTTATTTTTCGGGAAATAGGGTTCGTTTCAAATTTTTGATTTTTTTTTTGTTGCTAAAAGTTGAAATTTTGGTTAAAGATTAAAGAAGTGCCGAGGAGCTGATATTCACCTTAAAGATCTTCTTTCACTCACAGAAAACACACATAAATCTCTAAAAACTACAACTATTCAATCAAAGCAGCTTGCACAAGTTTTTGATCAAAATGATGTTCAGACGTAAGATTATCTGTACTTATATGTGCATAATGATGATCAATAGGGGGCAAGTGGATTGTTGCTTTTGGAAGTCTTCTTCTGTAACTCAACATGGATAAATGGAGACTGTTTTGCATTCCCATCATGGAACTAGTATATGAATTATTCTTCTGATTTCTGTCTGTCATTTTTTTTGTCTCCTTACACTGGAAGTTACTTGTTTTCCCCTTCTTGTGTATGAGCACAGAAGAACTAAGATCAAAGTGGAAGAAGCAGCTTAAGAAAGACACTGCTAGCAAAAGGTAACTCTGCAATTGTCTCAGATTTTATCTACTTCATCTGAATTTAGCTGGAAATATTGCTTCTGGATATTTGGAGGGTGAATTTTCTTTTGAAGCTGAAACATATTATTTCTTACAATGACACCGTGTTCATCTATACACAACCAAAAGTCCATAACCACATTGAACCGTGGTCACCGACTCCTTGATTGGTTCTGTAACGTGATGTGTTTTGGACTTAATCTTTTCTCTACCTGTCTACTGGTGTAACTTTCTGGTGAACTCCTTGTGTTTTGTTTTTCC